GCTCTCCCAGCCTGGCTCCAGAGGAGATATTCAAAGCCCATGAGATTCCCAGGACACATTCCCTGAGGGAGTGACCGTGGCCAGAGCAGGTTTTCTCCTCACCCACAAGGAAACAACAACAAAATCATGGAATCACACAATCCTTGAGGTTGGAAAAGACCTTTAAGATCATCAAATCCAACCACCACAACCACCACGTCCATGTCCCCAAGTGCCACATCCACATGTTTTTTGAACATTCCCAGGGATGGTGACTCCACCACTACCCTGGGCAGCCCCTTCCATTGCTTTCCATCCTTTTCCACAAAGAGATATTTCCTAAAATCCAACCTAAACCTCCCCTGGTGGTGTTGGGGTTGCCCCAGGAGCTTCTCACTGCTCTGAGATCCCAGCTCGATACGAATTCCCATTTCCTTCAGCTAAAGCTTTTGCACAACTGTGTCATCCAGCCCCAAAGAGTGAAAACATGCACATTTATATCACTGGAATTTACATCCACAGATTTATCTCCACATGTTACCCCAGGTCCTGGGTGCACACTCCAAGGTGATCAGTGCGTGTCCAACATGGAAGTGAACCCACAAAGGCTGTTGTCAGACCACAGGAAGAAAACCCAGGATTTAAACCCTGACAGGCTCAAGGGGAGACACCAGGCTGGACACTGTGGACTGTGCTCTGGAATCCTGGTTGGATTTTTAAAAAGTCCCCCACACTGACAGGTCTAATCCAGTCCTAAACTGGGCAATTCCCCGGCCTGGAGCCGTCCCGCTGTCCTCAGGTGAGCAGGAATTGCCTGATGGTGTAATTGTTGGCATGCTTTTCATGGAATCATGGAATCATTGAGGTTGGAAAAGCGCTCTGAGATTGAGTCCAACCATCCCCCAGCTCTGCCAAGGCCACCACTGCCCCCTGTCCCCAAGTGCCACATCCACAGGGCTTGGAAATCCCTCCAGGGATGGGGAATCCCAAAAGGCAATGTGGGGACATGGGATCCTCCTGATCCACACCTGGAGAGCTGCTGCAGCTCCATCCCCTGGGGACCTGGATCCCTGCTGGTCCACACCTGGAGGACTGGGGGGGCCCCCCTGGAATCCCGGGGGCAGTTCTGGGCCCTCAGCCAGGAGAGACCTGGAGGGGCTGGAGCGTGTGCAGGGAAGGGAAGGGAGCTGGGAAGGGTCTGGAGCAGCAGGAGGGGCTGAGGGAGCTGGGGGGGCTCATCCTGGAGCAAAGGAGGCTCAGGGGGGACCTTCTGGCTCTGCAAGTCCCTGCCAGGAGGGGGGAGCCGGGGGGGGGTCGGGCTCTGCTGCCAGGGAACAAGGGCCAGGCCAAGGGGAAATGGCCTCAGGCTGGGCCAGGGGAGGGTCAGGTTGGGGCTGAGGAGGAATTTGTGCTGGAAAGGGTGGGGAGGCCTTGGCAGGGGCTGCCCAGGGAGGTTTGGAGTGCCCAGCCCTGGAGGTGTCCCAGGAAGGCCTGGCCGTGGCACTCAGTGCTCTGGGCTGGGGGACAAGGTGGGGATGGGGCCCAGGGGGGATCCATGGGCTGGGAGGGCTTTTCCAGCCTCAGGGATTCTGGGATTCTGAGGAATGTGGTGACAGGCACATGGGCACAGCTCCAGCACCCGGGACAGCGTCAGGAGGGGCAAAGCCCGGCTGGAGCAAAGACTGGGAACAGACTTGAGGCAGAACAGGGATATTTTTAGTGGCACAGTGGCACCAAAAGGAAGTTCAGGGAAAATGCGACTCTGCAGATGAAAAACCAGCCGTGGAGGAGTTAGACAGGACCAAAATCAGGCTTAATTTGGCTTTTTGTCTCAGTGTTCATGGACAAAGTGAGCTCCCAGAGCTTGGAGAGGAGTGGACAATGCAACATGAGGCAGTGGGGAAGCAACAAGTCAGGGAATTCTTGGAAGAGCTGCTGCCTCTATTGGAGGAATCCAGAGGCAGGCAGGGAGCTGCTCCCAGGGCTGGAGCCCCTCTGCTCTGGAGCCAGGCTGGGAGAGCTGGGGGGGTTCCCCTGGAGAAGGGAAGGCTCCAGGGAGAGCTCAGAGCAGTGGAGGGATCTCTCCAGGTAACCCCTGCTCTGCATTCCAGAGCCCTGGGATGAGTCTCCATCCCTGGTCTGTGTTCCAGGCCCCTGGGATGAGTCCATGGGGAGATCTCTCCATGTCAGCCTGTGGTCCTACAGGATCTGCTGCCTGCAGGGCTGTGGGACACATCCTGGAATGCCAGGAACAGCATCCTGGGATGGTGCCAGACCTTCAGAGGTGCTGTGAGAGGACCAAATGCAGGAAGACCTTGGGCAGCTACTGGAGAGACTGGGAGTGCTGAGAACTTGTTACTGGAGAGACTGGGAGTGCTGGGAACTTGTTACTGGAGAGACTGGGAGTGCTGGGAACTTGTTACTGGAGAGACCAGACTGGTTTGAGAGCTGGCTACTGGAAAGGCTGGAGCTGCCAGCAGGGAACTGGTTTGTGTTGGTGCCAGAGACATCTGGGAACTGGAGACAGGACTGGACAGGCTGAGGGTCCACGGCCTGGGGGATCCATGTGTGGGTCAGATCCCACTCCAGGTGGTCCATCCTGCCCCTTTCCTGTCCCCAGCAGTTGGGCTCTGGGATCCAGGCACTGTCCTGCCACCGGTCCCTGCAGGAAGGAGCCATTTGTGGCTCCAGAGCTGATCCAGCAGCTCTCACGTGGAGATTGTCCCTGTCACCAAACACTTCCCAACCTGGAAACGCCTCTCAGGGCTTCCCAAGGGTCTGGAATGCAGACAAGGGGTGACCTGGAGAGATCCTCTCCCACTGCCTCATCCCAAGGGTCTGGAATGCTGACCAGGGGGCTGACCCACTTCTTTATTGGGATTTGCTCATTCCAGTGTGGAAGCACTTTACACCTCCCTCCCTGTCCAGCACTGACCTCCAGGACTAAGAAACCTTTAAAGCTAAAAGAATAAAGATTACTTTCACCTTCGTTTAATTACTATTTAATTAATTCTTTCCTTTCACCTCCAAAGGACGGTCTCAGGTTAGAAACGAGGCCTCAAACTCCAAAAATCCCCCACACTTTCCACCTAAACCGAACACCTCCCTAACCCAAACACCTGGAAAGGTCAGTGAGGGCGTTCCCAGAGACCTGCCCGAGGTTTCAAGCTCTGTGCCCGACATCTCCCTTTTGGAATATCCCCTTGGAATGTGGCTCTCCACTGCGGCAGAGCTGCTGTGCTCATTCTAAAGCCACCTCCAGCTTCCCTTCCCGGGAAACCACTCACGCTTGGCAGCCACGGGGGTGGTCAGCTCAGCTCCTCCTGCTGCTCCAGAGGGAATGGGGACCAGGAAGCACAGTTAGTTATTCTGCAGCTCAACATCCAACCGGGAAGGAGGGGAGAGGGCCGAGGTTCTCCCACCGACCCGCTCCCCACACCCCATGTGCACCTGAAGCTCCTGAATCCCCTGCTCTGTGATGTTCCTAAAAGGTCTGAGTGGGAAAAGGAATCAGCTCTGGAAGGGTTTGTGGGTTTGGGATCGTTGGTCCTGCAGCCTTCCCATCAACTAAACATTCCATGGCCGAGGAAAAAGGATTGCCAGAAAGGACCCACAGAGCCCTGATGGGAGCTGGGGGCTCCTCAGCCACCTCCCTGGCACAGGGGTGAGAAATATCCATGGAAAAGAGCCTTTTAAAAAGATATATTTAGGCTGGAAAACCCCTCTGAGCCCGTTGAGTCCAATCATCCGCCAGCACTGCCAAGGCCACCACTGCCCCCTGTCCCCAAGTGCCACATCCACAGGGATGGGACTCCCCCCCTGCCCTGGGCAGTTGTGCCAGGGCTGGACAGCCCTTTCTAGGAAGGAATTTTCCCAATATCCAGTTTTCAGCACAACCTTCAGACTCCCCAAAGCAAATCACTGGAGCTGAGTTGGCCAAGCACCAGTACCCACCAGTGCCCACCAGTGCCAGCAGTGCCAGTAAGACCAGTTCAGCTTTATTCCCAAAATCCCACATCTCCCCCTTTTCAGTATGAAGCCATTCCCTGTGTCCTGTCCCTCCAGGCCTTGTCCCCAGTCCCTCTCCAGCTCTCCTGGAGCCCCTTTAGGCCCTGCCAGGGGCTCTCAGCTCTCCCTGGAGCCTTCTCTTCTCCAGGGGAACCCCCCCAGCTCTCCCAGCCTGGCTCCAGAGCAGAGGGGCTCCAGCCCTGGCAGCAGCTCCGGGGCCTCCTCTGGACTCCTCCAGCAGCTCCACGTCCTCCTGCTGTTGTTCCCAGGGCTGGAGCAGCTCTGCAGGGGGGTGTCCCCTGAGGGGGCAGAGGGGAAGAATCCCCCCCTGCCCTGCTGCCCACCATCCCTGTGGGGTCAGCCCAGGGCACGGGGGCTTCTGGGCTGGGTCATGTCCAGCCTCTCAGCCACCAACACCCCAAGTCCTTGTCCTCAGTTCCCCCCCAGGCTGTGCTAATCCATGGTCACTCCACAGACTCCACATCCATCCGGCCTCATCCCACCCCTCCTGCCAGCAGCGCTCCCTTGGAAGGGGCAGGATCTGTCCCACATCCCTTCCTGCCCTAACACTGCACATCCTTCTTGGAAACCAACTCTCTGGGACCCTTTGGAACCAAGACACGGAACAGACCAACTGAGTGACCAACACTTTGACCGTTCTTTGGCTGCCTCACTGGAAGAGCCTCTTCTCCGGCCTTCAGAAACCCAGACCTGGCCTGTTCACCCCAAACCCACCCGGCTCAGGACACCATTGTCCCCTGCAAAGGTCCCACAGCAACACCTCCTCCACGCTCCTCCAAGCCCAGGCCCTAAAGCACCAACTGATCGACGTTCCCTCTCCAGAACCACTCCTTAAATCCAGCCTCTGCTGGGGGAGCAGCCGAAATCTCCCCGTCCCGAGTGACACAGCTGCCACCCCCCCGCCTGGGACAGGCCACACGACCCAGAACACCCCATGGGAGATGAGAACCCCGTGACCAGGTTGGCCCCGGAGGAGCCGCGGCCGCGCTCACCTCGATCAGAAAGTCCCCCGTGCGCAGCCCCGCTCTCCAAGCGACTCCTTCCACGTCCACTGATTCCAGGTACTGGAGCGCTGGGAAGGCCGGGGTCGGGGTGAACTCCTCGATCGGGGTTTCAGCTGCAAAACACAAAGGCAGGGAGGGCTTGAGGGGGTGGCCAAGAAAGTCCCTGTGTTGGTTCAGGCGCGTTCAGTGCCCGTCCACGGCATTCCCAGCCAGGGGATCATCTGGGATGGAAAAGCCCATGAGACCACGGAGTCCAACCGTCCCAGCACTGCCAAGGCCACCACTGACCATGCCCCCAAGTGCCACAGCCACAGGGCTTGGAAATCCCTCCAGGGATGGGGACTCCACCCTGTGCCAGGGCTGGAAAACCCTTTCCAGGAAGGAATTTTCCCCAGTATCCAACCTGACCCTCCCCTGGCCCAGCCTGAGGCCGTTCCCTCTCCTCCTGTCCCTTGTTCCCTGGTAGCAGAGCCCGACCCCACCCCCGGCTCCCCCCTCCTGTCAGGGACTTGCAGAGCCAGAAGGTCCCCCCTGAGCCTCCTTTGTGCTGGGTCATCAGGCCCAGACAAGTTCTCACGCCCCTAAATTATCCCAAAAATGCATTTTAAGAACTGTGTCAACCCCCTGACGAATCAGAGAGCCCATGGATGGCCTTGGAGTGCATCTCCTTTGATGCCAGGTCACTCCAGCCAACGTCACCCACACCCTCCTCCATTTCAGAGCCTGTAGACCCTGATTTCGTGCACACAAAGACAATTCCTCCTTTATTCTTTATTTACATATTTTAGGCAAGACTTTTTGCGCTCCATGGACCAGCACCACCCCAAGACCAACTTCTCCTGACAGGATGTTAACGTGCTGAACCATCTCAGATGCTTTTTCACCAGCAGCTTTCCACGACTCCTCCCCTTCCACGGGAGCCAAGCTGCGAAGAGCTGACAAGTCACCCTCCCTATTTTTAGAAATGCCGATGGAATGTTCGATTCCCGAGGGACCTCCCCGGTGATAAATTCAACCCCCTGGCCCAGCGCTGACCGGCAAGTTCTCTGAGAGCTCTGGAGTTCAAAGGGCCGCCGAGATTTGGTGCAAAACCAGGCGCCCCTTAGGCCAGACCTGAGTGGAGAAGGGCGTGAGGTGCGAGGTGAGAAAGACCTGGAGGGCTGAAAACCAGAAAAGGGGAGGCTGGAAGGCTGTGAATGTCAAGCAAATTATTTCCATAATGCTAATGAGACATATGGTCTCTGTGGAGAAGCAGCACGAGGCGGGACCCGGCGCTGCCCTCCCGGATCACACGCGCCCGAATTAAGCCACGGAAATGTTAAAGTCAAATCCTGATCCCTGGGGAGGGTGGAGTTGGACAGATGACAATTTAATTGGTTTGCCAGCCAGGAGAAGGAGACTGATGTGAGCAAACTGTGTTATCACAGTGGCTGCTCCCCCCATCCCCCGCTGCGTTTCCCAATGGAAAAATCCTAAAGCAGATCAAAATCCTAAAATCCTACCTCGGTCACCAAGGATGCTCTTGGGAATCATGGAATCCCAGAAGGGTTTGGGTGGAAGGGACATTAATGCCCATCCAATGCCACCCCCTGTCATGGGCAGGGACACCTTCCACCAGCCCAGGATGCTCCAAGCCCTGTTCAGCCTGGCCTTGGACACTTCCAGGGATCCAGGGGCAGCCACAGATGCTCTGGGAAATTCATCCCTCACCACCCTGCCATCCACGAATTCCTTCCCAATATCCCATCTCTCCCTGCCCTCTGGCACTGGGAAGCCATTCCCTGTGTCCTGTCCCTCCATCCCTTGTCCCCAGTCCCTCTCCAGCTCTCCTGGAGCCCCTTTAGGCCCTGCCAGGGGCTCTCAGCTCTCCCTGGAGCCTTCTCTTCTCCAGGGGAACCCCCCCAGCTCTCCCAGCCTGGCTCCAGAGCCCTGGCAGCAGCTCCGGGGCCTCCTCTGGACTCTCTCCAGCAGCTCCATGTCCTCCTGCTGTTGGGGGCACCAGAAACCTCCAGCAGTTGTCCTCCTGGTTTAGGTGCAACCACGGAATCATGGAATGGTTTGGGTGGGAAGGGACCTTAAAGCCCATCCAGCCCCACCCCTGCCATGGGCAGGGACACCTTCCACCAGCCCAGGTTGCTCCAACCTGCCCTTGGACAATTCCAGGGATCCAGGGGCAGCCACAGCTTCTCTGGGCAAGGATATAATCCAAGATGTCACCTGACAGGGCACTCAGATGAAGTGAAGGCAGCAGATCCCAGCTCCCAGCCTGTTCCCTCCGTGGTATCCACGTGTCACTCCAGGCACAGCCCTTCCCGTGGGCTGGAACCTGCAGCGAGTGCACGTCGTGAGACACGAGCTGGGAAAGTGTCACCGGGGCCTTCAAGGCTCAGCAAACAAGAAAATGAATCCTGAATTAAGAGCTGTATCCCCGTGGAACAAATCCCAGGAGCGTCATTTAATCCAGGATGGGGACACAGGGAGACAGGGGAAGTGACACTGCCTGGAGTCCCAGGGCTTGGTCACCGGGAATGGGAGAGAAGCTCTAAAAATGGACTTAAACATGAATTAATCCTCTTCTCCTTGGAGAGCAGGTTTGGAGGGATGACTGCTCCCAGTGTCCTCAACATCCATGGCAGGCAGTGGATGGAGGAGCTGGGACCCTCATGGTCACAAAAATCATGGAATGCTTTGGCTTGGAAGGGACCTTAAAGCCCATCCAGGGCCACCCAAAGATTTTTGCCAAAGCCAACGACTTTAAATCTCAGGAAGCAGAATTTAAACCTCTTGAGGAGCCACCACAGCTCTGGTTGTGCAATCTGGACACTTCCTGGCCTTAAAAACCCCTCAGTCTGGGCTGTCCCACAGGAGGAATTCCAGCTCCAGCTGTGGGAGAAGACCTGGCAGAGCTGGATCACCAGGAAGGCCTGGGGGCAACAAATCCCATCCTGGAGGCACCAAAATCCATCCTGGAGGCACCAAACCTCCTCCTGGGGGCATAAAATCCCATCCTAGGGGAATCAAACCTCCTCTCAGAGCCACCAAACCCCATCCTGGAGGCACCAAACCCTCTGCTGGGAACAGGGTGAACAACATGGATATTTTAATTATTCCTGAGCAGGGTCTGTGCAGTCGAGGCCTTTCCTGCTCCTCACCCCCCATTCCTTGGGGCAGGGAATTAAAATCAGCTCCTGAGTGTTTAAATTCCTAAGGCTCCTCTAAAAGAGTGGGATAATGCAAATTCCAGACTCTGCTGGGCCTTGTTTCCCAGTTTTCCATTAGATCTCCACAAGGATCACACCACCCTCAACAGGGATGACCCAACACCCCCAGTCCCAATTCCTGTCCTTCCTGAGGGTCACCAAGAGTCCCAGAACTCCTCTGCACAGGAGCCAAGGTCTGGAAACCATCAGTGAGCCCTTAATTTCCATGATGATCCCAGTGTTGTATCCCAAAGTCTTACTGCAGGGCCTGGGGACAACATTCCCACTTCCCAGACCAACGGGAAGATCCTTGAGCTCTGACTGCACTTCCTGCAACACCCTCCCAGGGTTGGGAAGGGGCTCCTGAGCTTCCCACAGGACAGGAAAGGACTAAACCACCCTCAAAGGATCCCCTAATCCCACAGATCCCGGCAAGCGCCGAGCCCTTATGGAATTCCCTGAGGGATCCAAGTGTCTGTGATCCCAGTGGCGCTGGCTGGGATGAAAACCCAACAGCTGAGGCTGAACAGCAAACTGGAACCTTCCTGTGAGGAAATGCAGCAAAACCAGGTGGAATCAGGGAATCCTGGAATCACCGAGGTTGGAAAAGCCTCCAAGACACCAAGTCCAACTGTTCCCCCAAGGCCACCACTGCCCCATGTCCCCAAGTGCCACATCCACAGGGCTTGGAAATCTCCAGGGAAGGGGGGACTCCATCCCTGCCTGGGCAGCTGTGCCAGGGCTGGAAAACCCTTTCCAGGAAGGAATTTCCCCAATATCCAACCTGAGCCTCCCCTGGCCCAGCCTGAGGCCGTTTCCCCTTGGCCTGGCCCTTGTTCCCTGGCAGCAGAGCCCGACCCCCCCCGGCTCCCCCCTCCTGGCAGGGACTTGCAGAGCCAGAAGGTCCCCCCTGAGCCTCCTTTGCTCCAGGATGAGCCCCCCCAGCTCCCTCAGCCCCTCCTGCTGCTCCAGACCCTTCCCAGCTCCCTCAGCTGCTCCTCATTGGAATTGTGCTCCAAGGTGGGACCAGCACGGGGCACAGGAGGGGCACTGAGGGGCAGAGGAGAATATGGGGGGCTCTGGGCTCTGGGGACCAGGGCAGGCACTTGCTCCATGAGCAGCAGGATCTGGGAGCTGTGGTGAGGTGGGATAAACCTGGAAAATGGGTGTGGATCCCGTGTTGGGGCAGATGCAGGTGAAGCACCTGCCTGGGGAGAGGAGGGGGATAAAAGATTGATGCTTTGGGAAGTATCAGGAGCAAAGTGAGCCCTGCAGGGGATCAGCATGGAGTGTCCTTCCCACGGGATCGGCTGCATCAGGAGACACATGAACCACAAGATGAAATAACCTTGGAACTTTGGGAATAACCTGGTTCTCCCCAGACAAACAGACAAAAGCTCTGCCCTTGAGCAAACTCTTGGAGCCATTTCCCTTTCCTTTTTTTAATACGTTGTTTGTATTAATGGTGATATCCTTGTTATCCATAAAATCATAGAACCCCAGAATGATTTGGTTTGGAAGGGACCTTAAAGCCCATCCAGTGCCACCCCTGCCATGGGCAGGGACACCTCCCACTAGCCCAGGTTGCTCCAAGCCCCGTCCAACCTGGCCTGGGACACTTCCAGGGATAGGATCTACTCCTCAGAGCATAAATTCCCAAGTCAGGTGCTCCCTGTGCCTCTGCTCCCACAAAAACCCACCACAACCAGATGCCAACAGGCACTGACTGGCCTGGGAATGGGCAGAGTGGATTTGGAGACTGGGTGTGAGGAGCAGCCCCTGAGGGAGCTGTAACACCCGCTGCTCACAGGATGGCCCCAGCTCAGGAATATTTTAGGAATTAAATGACCAAACAGACAGTGCCTGATGGGTTGGCTGGGAAGAGGGAGATGCTCCAGTCTGGGCATGGAAGGTTTGACTGGTGAGTTCAGGATCCCAGAGCCCCTGAGGTTGGAAAAGCCCTCCCAGCCCATGGATCGCCCCTGGGCCCCATCCCCACCTTGTCCCCCAGCCCAGAGCACTGAGTGCCACGACCAGGCCTTCCTGGGACACCTCCAGGGCTGGGCACTCCAAACCTCCCTGGGCAGCCCCTGCCAAGGCCTCACCACCCTTTCCATGGAGAAATTCCCCATCATGGCCAACCTGACCCTGTTGTAAGCCAAGAAATGCCTTTCAGCACCTTGAGCAGGTCCCTGATTTGAGTGTGTGACAGGCTGGGACCTCTCTGGGCCAAGGGATGGAGAAGTGAATCCTCTGGCTCATCACGGGGAGAAGGGGCTGCTCCAGCCCCTCCCATTTGCTCCACAGGATTCCCTAATCATGGAATCCCAGGATGGTTTGGGTGGGAAGGGACCTGAAAGCCCATCCAGTGCTACCCCTGCCATGGGCAGGGACATTTTCCACTAGCCCAGGTTGCTCCAGCCTGGCCTGGGACACTTCCAGGGATCCAGGGGCAGCCACAGCTCCTCTGGGCATTCCCAGGCAATGGCTGCAGGGAAGCCCCAGGTCCAAATGCTGCAGCTCATCCCCTGCAGACACCAGGATGAAATAAAATAAGCTCTGTCCAAAGGCTCAGCTGGTCTGACCGGGATGTCACCTCCTCCGGAACGGGGCAGAGGTGGAGACGGGATGGGCTGGGAAGGGCTGGTTCTCCAGGATGGTGCAGAGCCTGAGCCCTCTTCCTGGAGGGGTTCACAGGGACAGACTCGGGCTGGGGAAGGAACGAACCCTCAGCAGGACTGAGAGAAGCCAGGAAGGATTTTCACACCCTCCCTGCAGCACGAAGAGCAGATTCCTTTGAGGATCATCCAGCTGAGTCCACAATATCCATCTCCCACCCCTGCAAGGGATGATCCTCTGATCCCCCCATTTCCAGACCCCTTTTTCCTCTTCACACCACGATTCCTTAAGCGGTTTTCCCTCAGTGGAGTGGTGGTGACACCGACGGGGCCACGCAGACAGTCCCAGAGCTCCTTCCAGCCCGAACCCCACGGAGCACCGGGATGAGGGGCTGGGAGACACGGGGGGGACCCGAGCCACCACATTCACCTCCCTGTGGAGGGAACGCTGCTCCCTGAGGGGCTCGGGGAGCCTCCCAGACCGTGCCCACGCTCCGACGGCTTCCACGCCACGACCCTCTGCAGCCACGCGCTTCCCGGTGCCCTGCAGCACCGCCAGGATTCCCAAATCCCACACAGCCACACGCCCACTTCATCCGCTCCCGGTCCTGCCTTCAGCCTCGGCAGACAAAGGGAGAGGCAGAGCCTGAAAACGTCGGGAGGGTAAAGAAGGAAAAAATAAAAAAAAAAAAAGGGGGGGGAAAATGGGCAACGGGACTAAACGTATCCATTTTTCCCAACACAATAGGGGCAAGATTGATCCGGGAAAAAAAATGGATGCCATTTTGAGCCGTGAAGTTTCACTTCATGCTACACACGGACAGACACGTATGTCACATCCATAGGGAAGGGGAGAGAGAGGGAGGAAGAGACAGCAACCATATTCCAACAGGGATGCAAACACACCCACCGGCACCGAGCCCTTCCATGGGCAGAACAAAGGCGATCCAGGAATCCCCCCCGAAATTCCCCCCCGGAGATCAAAGCCCGAATCCGCAGCCGCACCGAGGTCCGGGGAAGGAGCAGCACTCCCCAGGAGCTGCTTCCAGCTTTCCCTCCCACACCTTGCTACATCCTACATGGAAGGGACAGAGCTGCACCATTGTCCCCCTGCTCCCACTGTCCCTCTGCTTCCAAGAGCCTGGAAGTGCCGGGGAGGGACGGGGCTCTCCGGCCGGAGGCGTTCCTGCCTCCCGAGCACGGGAGCCGAAGCCCGTTCCCTGTATCCATAGGAGCACATTCATTCCCGGTCCCCAAGGGCCTCTTTTTTTGCAGTACAAAGATGGATTTCTGGCAGGAGAAGCCACAGGAACCACCCACCCGAGGTCCGGCCACGGGAGCACCCCGGGGTGCCCCGGGAATGAGCGGTACGGGATGGAAGGGACGGTGGGAGCTGCGGGACACACCTCTCCCGATTTTCCCCGGGGAACCCCAGCACCACCAGGGCTCCTCAAAGGACCCCCAACTCCCCCCAGCCAAAGTACAGTGAAACACTTCCAGCATTTGAACCGAAAACGCCACGGATGCCACGGGGCTGCACCCGGGTCACGCTCCCGGGGAACGGGGAGGAGTGAACATTCCCGGGATCTCAAAGCCACCAAGAGCAGCATCCGCACCAGAACCCCCCGGAAAGTGTGAGCGATGCCCGCCCGCCACGACGGCACCCGGGCAAGGAGAGAGCCGGAGAAGAGAGTCCCCTAAAGAGCCCCTAATGCCCAGGGCTGCCGGGCACGGGAATTTGGGGATCCGGAGCCCGGGCAGGGTGAGGAGAAGGCGCTTCCCGCCCCAGCCCCAGAGCCAGCGAAAGAAGCAGCCCTTACCTTTGGCCCCTCGCAATACAAACCCGAATCCCTCATGCTCCCTCTTCTGCAGCACGGCCGTCTTCTCCTCAATGATGTAGTCACTGGGCAGGAAAGAGCACAAGAGAATGATGCCAGGGTTAGATTTCAGCACCATGCTGCCAGGCGGAGGTGGCCTTTGTGCCTGTGACAAGGAGACCTCTTCTCATCCACCGTCTCATCTCAGCGGGGAGTTGGGCTCAAGCTGCTTCCCCTCCCCTCCCTTTTGCCCAAAGTCAGAATGAAAAAAGACGAAAAGCTACTTTCCCTCAGCGTGGAGGAGGAGGAGGAGGAGGAGGAGGAGGAGGAAAGCCCCGGCTGCCTGGATCACCCTGCTGCCCACCGGGCCCCCTCGCAGTCACCTGCATAGGAATGCAGGGATACAGATCCCCTCGGGATCCCCTTTAAAGGCTGCCCGGAGCGTGGGGGGGCATCGGGGGATCGGCTCTCTCAGACTTCCCGGTTGCCTCTCACGCGGAGAAAAAAAAAATCGGCCGCTCGACGAAAAGGAGAAGGTGCCTCTTTGGTGAGTTGAGCACGGCAGAGTTTAAATCCTCATCCCGGCGCTCGGATCTTCTCCTAAAATCCCCCCCCCTCCCCGCCGCGTTGCTAAGTGACGGTCTGCCAGGAGCAGGGGGGATGCATTTCCTTGTCCCACTTTAACAAAGGCACCGGCGGGGAAGAACCGGGAGGATCCAGCGGCGGGTGGAGCAGCGGCAGCTCCGCGGGGCCGGCGCCCACCGGAGCCCCTTCCCCAAATGCCATCGACGTGCGGCGGGAGGGGCGAGGGGGGGACGGGAGGGGGACGCTCGGAGCAAACGCAGCCCTCTGCAAATCCCTCCCAGCAGAGCCGCATGTCTGACATCAGAGCCGAATTAATCAGGGACCCGGGTCCGGCTCTCGGCAGCGCCGGGAAAGGGGGGAGGCGGCACAAGGAGCCAAAGCGGGAGCGGCGAGGAGGGAGCGATGGGAGAGATGGAGCGGTGGGAGAGAAGGGGAGCGATCAAGAGATGGAGAAGCGAAGCCCCCCGCTCGTCCCCGGGTGAAGGGGCTGCTGCATCCCCTTCCCACTGTGCTGGAGAGCGATGGGAGGGATGGGGAGCGATCAAGAGATGGAGAAGTGAATCTCCCTGCTCGTCCCCGGGTGAAGGGGCTGCTGCATCCCCTTCCCACTGTGCTGGAGAGCGATGGGAGGGATGGAGAGCCATCAAGAGATGGAGAAGTGAATCTCCCTGCTCGTCCCCGGGTGAAGGGGCTGCTGCATCCCCTTCCCACTGTGCTGGAGAGGGATGGGAACGATGGGGATGGGGATGGGGAGGATCCCCGGCAGGGCCAGGACCGGCAGCGAAGGATCTGCCCGGAGCGTGGCAGCGGGAACGAATCCCCCCCAGAGCCTCCCTGCCACGGCACGGGCAGAGCGAGGGGGCAGAGGGAGGGGATGTGTATCCAGGGGATGTGTATCCAGGGGATGTGTATCCAGGAGCTGGCACGGAGCAGCGGGAATCACACTGCGGTACCGGGGCCGGCACACGCCTCCCCCTCCCCGCTCCTCCTGCCCCTCCGGAGGGAAGGGATCACCTGCCAGGGACACCCGTGCCACCCGCAGGGACCCGGAGGGCTGGCACAGGGGTGGGGAGGCAGCGGGTGGTGCCGGAGGGACGGTCAGGGATCACCACGTTCCCGTGTGTGCTCCCCGTGACCGACGGGCACCGGGACAGGACCCTCCTCTGCATCCGCCCACCTGCAGCATTTCCAGGCATCCCAATCCCACCAGTCCTGCCGGCAACGCCACGACAGCACCCGGCTCCTACAAGGAATATAGAAATATTCCTGCGTTTTCCAGAGCCGGGGAAGGGCATCCCAAAAGCTGATGCACACGGGGATTACATACGAGGACATACAAACGTCATCCATGGAATGTAAAGCGACACAGAGCCTGAATTCCCTGCAATTCCCTGATACTTCACTTCGTGCTGTAATTACGGATGTGCTTCCACATTATCCACGGAAAACAGGGAATCTGAAAAGCCAGGGACTTCATGCAACGAAGTACCCAGACATGGAGAAACTCCAACAGAGCTGGGAAGCACTTTAAGGGTGTCACGGAGCCCCCCACTCATGTCACCTCACACATCTCCTGCCCCAAAGGCACAGCTGGTTATGCAGCTGCTCCTCAATAGGTGTGAAACTCTTCCCCCTCCAACAAAATCCTCCTTTCCAGGTGTAGGGCAGCCCTCTGGAAGTAGATTCCCATGCCTGGGAAAGGTCACTCCAGTGACACAACCCTCGTGTCCAAGTAAGGAGAGCGGGACAACCTCACACTGTAATTCCTGAATCCAAGCAGTTGTGGCTGCCCCTGGATCCCTGGAAGTGTCCAAGGCCAGGCTGGATGGGGATTGGAGCAGCCTGGATAATGGAAGGTGTCCCTGCCCATGGCAAGGGTGGCACTTTAAGGTCCCTTCCAATCCAAGGAATTCCAGGTTTCTATGATCTAGGACAGAGCTTGGAGTAACCTGCTCTAGTGGAAGGTTCCCTGCCCGTGGGGGGCAGGACTAGATGACCTTTAAGGCCCTTTCCAACCCAAATCATTCTATAATTCCATGACCTAAGTGAACAACTCAAATATACCATGGTTAGGTCTGTACAAACCAGCTCCAGTCAACTCCTGGTGGCACCAGAACAGCAAAGCCAAGCTCTGACTTTCCAGTAAAAAAAAACCCAGCAGTTGGAAGAATTTAGAGTTTGTTTCAACTCTCTGGGCCTGGGGAAACTCACTGAGGTGGCAGAAAGTGCCTGACTCGTGCCATGGCTGTCTCAGAGCTCACCTGGCATGCTTGGCATTCCTGGAGAGCCTCACAAAGGATGATGCTCATCTTTATAAACAGGCAGCAGAAAGATCAAAGGAAGCCTAAAACGAAGCAACTCATCTTTAATTCCCTGGCAAATCCTCTAACAAACAGCAGAGAGGTTTAATAAACCATCCAGGTGACAAACAGGAGGTGGAATGGATCAGAGGGAACGGGATGTGCCAGAGGAACCCAATTTCTGGGGGACAATAACGGGTCTCCTGACCATGGGAAAGGCAGAGCTGCCACACGGAGCCTGATGGCAGCAGAGCATTCCCAACACCCTCACAAGGCATTCCCATAAAAAACCAAGGGGATAGAAACCTCTGCAAGGTGAGGAAAGAGCTGCATTGGCACATTTTTCACTGCTGAACTGCAAGGATGGATCAAGCGGGATTTCACCGGGGTCTGCCTTGGGATGAGCTCAACGTGCTCACCGAGCGTTAGGAGGGAACAGAGAGTGAACTTCAGCGTGCAGAAGGTCCCAGCAGAGAGGGCAGCAGCACGTTGGAAGAGCAGGTTTGGATTCACGTGGTGCTGCCACTGGAGAAACGGTCTGGAAAGCAGCAGGGAATGAAGGAAAAGCGCAAAGTGCTGCAGGGAAAACTATGGGAACGAAAACGGGAGATGCAGAAGGAGCCTGGGCAAGCTGGAGGCAGGAGAGGCCTCCAACACCGTCTCAGAGTTGTGTCACCCTCTGGTGAGCCAGGCTGAGGGCCTGACTGGGGATACACCCCAGGAATGCTGTCCAGGCCCTGGATCCATCCCCTCCCCGCCGGAGGGGCCCCGGGAGGCAGCGAGTTAACCGTGGGCGAGGAGAACACGAGCACCCCCAGCGACGGCTCCGGGCTCCTTTTAGACTCAATGGAGAGCTGGGAGTGAAGTCAATGGAGCTGTGATTCATCCCCTGCTCCCAGGGCCGCCCCCACCTCTGCCAGATGAATGGCACCCCTGGCTCCAGTGACTGGCACGGCTGCACCCCGAGCCGGGCGGGCCGGGGCGAGCAGCTCCCACCCCCCCAGGGCCGCCCCCACAGCCCCGTGACGTGGTCCCGGGTTAGGTAACGATCCCCCCGCCCGGCCCTGACCCCACATGGCCCAAAGGATGGGGGGCACGAGCGGAGAGTCCTGAGGAGGACACCTGGAAGTGCTCAAGGCCAGGTTGGATGGTGGAAGGTGTCCCTGCTCACCTTTCCTCGTGGAAAGGGTGGGGAGGCCTTGGCAGGGGCTGCCCAGGGAGGTTTGGAGTGCCCAGCCCTGGAGGTGTCCCAGGAAGGCCTGGCCGTGGCACTCAGTGCTCTGGGCTGGGGACAAGGTGGGGATGGGGCCCAGGGGGGATCCATGGGCTAGGATGGCTTTTCCAGCCTCAGGGGCTCTGGGGTTCCAGGATCTCTACACCAGCATCAGCTTCAGCTCAACTTCAGTTTTTCTTGAGGGACATTCATTTAGAAGTCCCCAGTGAGGGGCCTTCCCTCCCCAGCCATTCCTGTCCTCCACAGGTGTTTCCACCAGGAAGTTGTGTGGCACCTCTGAAACATTTTCTCCTGGGAGAAATCAAGTGGATCAACCCAAACAGGTTTTTATTTTCCTGATGGGCCTTTTATGTCTGAATCCTAGAATGGGTTGAGTGGGAAGGGACCTTAAAGCCCACCCAGTGCCACCCTGCCATGGGCAGGGACACCTTCCACCAGCCCAGGATGCTCCAAGCCCTGTCCAACCTGGCCTTGGACACTTCCAGGGATCCAGGGGCAGCCACAGCTTCTCTGGGCAACCTGGGCCAGGGCCTCCCCACCCTCCCAGCCAGCAATTCCTTCCCAATATCCCATCCATCCCTGCCCTCTGGCACTGGGAAGCCATTCCCTGTGTCCTGTCCCTCCAGGCCTTGTCCCCAGTCCCTCTCCAGCTCTCCTGGAGCCCCTTTAGGCCCTGCCAGGGGCTCTCAGCTCTCCCTGGAGCCTTTTCTCCTCAGGCTCCAAGGTCCTGAGGCCCTGATTGGCATCACCCAGACTTTCTGCTTAATTCCCTCAGGAGGCAGCTCATCAAGGCCCTGATTAGGAACCACATCAAAACCAAAGTGGCAGCTGAGAAGGGGCTGAAACTCCAGAAGAAACCACTTCCAGTCACACATTCCCCCGACCTGGAAGAGCAGAAGCCCCTGGGAAGGATGTGCTCTTTGGGATCACATTCCCTCCAGGACTGGTCACACCACTTCAGACACCACTAAAAAGCCCCAGAGCAGCACTGCTCAGTCCCAGCTGGAGCACCAGAGAAATCCTGAGGATCAGCTACTGCAGAGAGGGAGGAAAACCAGCAACAAAAGGCAGGGAAAAGCAGCACCTTCCCTTTTGGAACATGGACAGTTTTCCAGAACATTTTCAGCACTGGACTGATTCCATTTAAAGCCACTAAGCCAGTAATTTTTAGGGCATCAAGGGAACAAGAAGCCTCAGAAAGTCCAAGACATGTTTTGCCTGGACTCTGAATTCGGGGACACTGAAAAAGCTTGGG